TAAAAAAAAAACAGGGCAGTGAAGAAATGACATTGACCAGATAACAGATCAACAAGAAAGAATCTAAAGCAGACATAAAACTTTTCTCCAGTTAGTTCTTAATGAGAACCTGGTGCTAACAGTGTGGACCAAGTGTTCAGGAGAACATGTAATCTAAACCAGAGATCTCCAAACTTGGCAACTTTTTAAGACCTGCAGACTTCCAACTCCCAGAATTCCCCCATCAGCATGACTGGCTAGGGAATTCTGGGAAATGAAGTCCACAAATCTTAAAAAAGTTGTCAAGTTTTGAAGACCCTGATCTAAAGAGAAGCACAGCCCATTCCTGTGTGCAGGGACTAGTACTATCCCTATAATGGGAAGCAGTGAACAAACGGCTTTGGCAAAATGGCAATTTAATGGTATAGGCAGAATTGATGCTGGGCAGACACATCATTCCAAGATTTATGCATGACACCGCAGTTACAAAAAAACATCCCGCTTCCTTTCCCCGCCATCCTCTCCGGGAAGGAGTGCCCCTTACCCAATTATATTTGTACCCAAGCTCGCCCCAGGCAGCTGAATACCAATTTGCTCAAGTCCACCTCCCAGAGTTATTTTCTAGGAGCGATAGGATAAGTGCATTTTTTTTTTGTCTGAAATCTCTGGCCTGGAGTGGGCTCGTTTAGTGTTTAGAAATACAAAAATACTGGAAGGTTCATAATGCTGCTCCTACCTCAGGCAACGGCGTTAAGAAGAAACAAGAAAAAGGGGAGTGGAGTTTACTTTCCAAGTATTTCCTACATGCCTTCAATTCATAGTGTGCAATAGAAGCGGAAATCAGACTCCCGGTGGGATGAGACTCATAATACAACAGGAAAATGAATAAATAAAATACAAACTGTAAAATCAGCATGGAAAATAGTTTCAAGTACTTTAAACCCTGAATTCAATGAGGCAGAAGAGAACAATGTTAAAGTGACTATATTCGTACCAGCGGTTGAAGTTCCCCACCTCCCAACCCTACCCATAACATCTCCATATATTATATACAGTCAATGGGTTTTCAGATCATTGGCAATGATATTGTAATAATTACATCTTTCGAATGCCGCTGGGGTGAGGCAGAAGGGGCACCCAGCGCAAAGGCCAGAGATGCCAGCGAATCCCTTTATCTTCATTACAAGTTCCAAAGAACCGTTTCTCACGCGGCATTTTGAAGAGCACAGATATGCACTTAAGGACTGCTAACACACAATGCAGGAAGTACGTGCCTGTGTTGTACGTCCTGGAGGAAAGGGGTGGGGGGGAAAAGCACCATGACCACAAACAAAACACTTTGCTTTAGACATACAAACTTGGGCCTTGGGGGAGGCTGCCCAGAACTTTTGAGAGCAAACTGCAGCAACCGGCTCATGATTTTTACATGGTGAATCCTGAAATCATGCTGAGGTCTGGAAAGAAATGGGGTGGCTGGATGGGAAATATTGTCCAAAAATACTGTGCAGGTAGCTGCTTGCAAAAGAAGACTAGAATATCCCTTCCTTTGTTTCTTATTTCATTCCTCAAAGCCCAAACTAGAAAAATGGCAGGTATGCTTCTTGATTATTTTTTTTTACCATTTCTTGGAAGAATCACAACCCTTGGAGTGTTTGATGAAGCAATTCTAAAAGGCTAAAAATATGCAGACATTCCTATCCCACCTGTGTATCCCCAGAATTCACGAGACACCTGCTTGAAATCTAAGTGTCAAAGCTTTGTTCTTTAAACTATTTACCCAGCCAGATGTTTTCATGGCTGCTTTTTCATTTGCCTGCAGATAAAAACATCCTTCCTCGAGGCACAGATTTAAACCAAGGCTGCAATGCAAAAAGCATTCCAGAGTCTTGAGTCAGAGTTATGACAATACAGCCCAAAGATTTCTGCATTCTACAGGATGCAATTTCGAAGCTCAAAGCGTCTCCACAATTGCAAGAACACAAAAACTGCGGGTCTTCTGGTGGAGCAAGCCAACTTTCCACTCCTGATTAAAGTGCGTGTAAAAATGTAACAGGTTTTTCTACGGGGATCCCCTATCGTGGCTTGCGGCATACGAGCAACAATGCTAGGCGTCTGCCCATTCAGAAATGACATTTCATTGAATTCACAGCACGAGACTATGCGTGTCCATTGCCCACTCTCGGCAAGTAGTACTGCTGTGTTCAATTGGTTTGTCCCACGGATGTGTGCAAAGCAAGACACGTATCTCAGGGAAACTTAAATTTATTCTAAGTGCATACAGGATAATCAGCAGTGGTTACCCATTCGTATGAGCTGCTTGAAAAGAAGAACCCTTCATATCTGATCCTTATGCATTAATTAGGAAAACGTAGGGCACATTTTCTAAAAGTCAACCACACAGCATAGGATGGGAAGAAGTACCTGATTGCAGGGATCTATATTCAGAGAAGCAAGTCAGCCTTCTCTGACTTTCTTTCTTCTTCCCAACTTCCATTTCTCATGGCAATACTTCAAGCCCATTTTTGCAGAGGCAAAGAGATCAAATTCTATGTTTACAATTTTATAGAACGGAAGCAAAGTTCTACGTTTTTTTCACAGAATAATTTTTTTTCTATGTTCTGAGTAATTAGAATCTGGGAGAAGGGAGAGAGAGAGAGAGAGAGAGAATCCAAGAACCTTTAATATTTCCGTTGCTCACAAAAAAAAAAAATCACTATATTCATAATATTTCTGTTTCTTAAGGATGTTATATTGCTTATGGTAGGACTGCATCCTCAAAGAAAACCTTCCCGCTCTACTTTTTAAAAACAAAAAACAAAAACAAAAACAACCAAATCAAACCAGAGCTAAGGACTCAATCTGGAACAATGAATAAACATTTAAGATGTAGGTAGTGAATGAGCCAGCGAAAGTTTGGGACATCTTAATGAAGAAACTTTACGGGATTCAAAAGGTTTATGCGAACAAAAAATATCATCCAAATAAAATGCTTTCTTCACTTTTGCAACCATTAGTGGAGAAAATCGGAAACAATAGTTTAAATTGACGTGATAGTGGAGCGTCCCATTCTTCAGGGAACTAATTCACGGGTGGCCTGAGTAAGATTGCTCTGAATACTGACCGATGATCCTTCTATTTCTCAACAAATTTTGGCCACTCTTCTTTGCAGAATTGCACTTGAGGTGACACACGAGTTCTAATCATGATGCTGGATCCACCACTATTAAGGACAAAAGCTCTCTCCAACTGAATGACACAATTTTCTTCGAAGCACAATGAAAAGAGGAAGGACCACAACAGTACAAGGCAGTTCAGAGACAGAAAGAGAGAGAGAGAGAGAGAGAGAGAGAGAGAGAGAGACGAGGGGAGATGTGGTCAAAGAGAAAGGAGAACATGATTTGGAGCACATGATTGGATCCAAGGGGCTAATGCACAGCCCAAGCTTCAATCTCATTCACTGATTGGAACTGCAGTATTTCCAAATTTCATCTTAACTTCAGCAGCACCTATTCCCTAATTTTATATTTGCCCTCTCAAGGTGCACTGCCATGAAATCTGGGCATTCGGTAGCAGGCCATTGCCAATCTGTCAAGGAATAATGGAGTGTATGAAAGAAAATAAAGATGAGAATTCTGAATTTAGGATTCCTAGATTAGGATAAAATCCTCTTGGAAAAAAAAATCTTGCTCCATGACCTTATGGTTTTCTTATTCCTCCCCCCCTGCCTGCAAAAAAAAAATCAAATACGTAATAAAATAATCCTAAAATCTAAACCTAAATATACATAAATAAAATTTGTAGTGTTCTCAAAAATTACTTCAAATGTTCATTAGTGTTATCAAATACGTATCAACTTCTTTTAGGGCTTCGTATTTCATTAGTCCACATGATTCCGAAGCTTATACAATACAAGAAAACAAAGTCAGTGATCGGCAAAGGAATTTGCCAACTGAATGAAAACCGAAAGACATCTCAGGTGCTTTAGAGCAGAGATCTCCAACTTTGGCAACTTTTAAGACTTGTGGACTTCAACTCGAGCTTTGCTGGCTGAGGAATTCTGGGAGTTGAAGTCCACAAGTCTTAAAATTGCCAAGGTTGGAGACCCCCGCTTTAGAGGAATGTAGTGTGCAGCCTTATTCTTACACCTAGGCGGATTAGGAAAACAGAAGTTGTATTTCCTTTTCCTTTATAGACTTTAAAAAAAAAAAGAATTAAAAAAAATGAATTAGAAAAAAACTAAGAAAAGAGTCACCGGCATCATAAAATACTGTCTATTTCCTGGAATTGCCAAATCCATTACAGTCATATAAATCAATGTACAGTCATTATTGAACTAAGCACAACTAAATAAAAACAAGTATTTCATGAGACACTTGGAATACCCAATGGGAACAAAGTGATGTAGATTTCAGTGCCGGCTTCTTTTAGAAAGATTAATAAACTAGTCTTTTATGAAACACACACATGGCTTTTGTAAGATAAGACTGTTCCTATCCAGTGACGCGATTCCTTTGAATAACCTACGTCAAAATCGGATAAGAGAAGAAACAAAAACTGGCCATATAAAACATGCCGGCTTGGCAGTCAAATTCCGCCTTTCAGATTCAAAAAGTTAAATCTTTATCAGCATCTACCACTGGGGAAACCATGCAAGAGTAGAGGTCCTGCAAGGGACAAGATTCATCAAAGGAGGACTCACTCAAGGCCTTACAAAAAGAAGAGCCTGCACATCCAACTCGTTTCCCGTAACGTAGCGATCAAGAAACAAGTCAAGAAAAGCACGCATACAGAGGCTTTCCCGCCCGAGTCTCCTTCGGATTCAACAGTGACAGAAAAAGTGATCTATGCGTAATGAAACTGGACTCGGGGGGCCCCAAAAGAGAAATATTCCCCAGCTACCTGACAGGTTTTTTTCTTCTTCTTCCCTACCCATATTTTGATAGGTGCAACCTACCAGAACTCTTCTGCATCCAAGTCCTTTAAGAAAGAAAACGGAACCGCAAACACCGCTCAGGTTAAGAAGCTGCTGGAGGAGACGCTTTCAAAGTGACCAGTAACATCAACGTCAAGAATGCCCTTCCAAAATCACAGAGTCCTAATTTTTATTTTTTTTTTATTTTTTATTTTTGGGGGGGGTGTGGGAGAGAAGGTACCGTGATTATCGTTTGACTCACTCAAAAGGGAAAGAAGGCTTGCACCATCTCCAAAACAAAACAAAACAAAACGACTTCACACCTCTTGCCATCCTGAAGTTACTCGGAAGCATCTTGCTTCGGAACTGCCCGGTAAGATTTATCGGATGTTTTTAACCCCGTAATTGTAAAACCAGACAGGGGGAAGGAAGGAAGGACGAAGAAGAAAAAAAAGTAATAATCATAAAAAAGACACAATAGAGAAATAGATACCAGGCTGGTGCTGCTACTCTTTTTTCAGACACACTGATTGTATTAGAACCAGAAATCCTCAAAAAAGTCCATTAAAAATTAAATAAATAAATATTTTTGCTATGTTTCTTTTCTTCTTGTTTTTCTACACGCAGAGAGCATACTTTTAAATTCAAGGTCCTCTTTTTTTTTTTTTCTTTTCTTTTCTCCAAACCCTTTCCCCTGACATCGGAAAAGGTCTCCCTCCTTCTTCTAACAAAAACGGTAACCGAAGATGCTTCTTTCTGATCTTCGAGAGCCCGAAAGACACATCCACGGGCAAAACGGATCTAATCGGACGCGCAGGCTCCTAACTGCCCTTCCCAGATCCAGCGATCCTAATTGAGTCCCATAGAGGCAGCTCTAAAAAGACTGGGAGGAGGCTTCGCCTGGCACTGTGTCTAGATTCACAAGGATTTGCCACCCCGAACGGGAACAAATGTTGGGGGGTGTGGGGTGTTGTTGCGTTTTCCTAAAAAAGGGCCCCCTTCACTCCTTCGAGGTTTCGTCCGGATTTTGCTGCTCCAGCCGGCGCTTGATCTTGCCCCAGTACTCGGGGGCCACGGGAGCCTTGGGGTTGTGTTCAGAGCAGCAGAGGCGTCCATCCAAGGCCGAGGAGACCAGGGCTCCCCTTTCGTGATCTTTGCAGTAAGAGTGAGGGCAGAACTCGCAAAACGAAGCTGCTGGGTTGCCGCAGATGACACACTGGTGCCACGGGCATTCCCACTTCCCTGGGAAGAAAACGAGAGAGATCAAATAGGCATCGGCTCAGAAAAACATCCTGCCCAATTCACGGGCCGGACTAGAACTACTTTATGTCATGCCCTTGTTGGGGTCTGATTCTGAGGGGGAGATTGAGCAGCTGACAGGGAGTGGGAGTGTGGCTCCAGTGACTGTGGAAGAAACGGGGAAAGGGCACAGAGGAAGACCCAGGGCCACCCCCTCTTCCTCCTAGGGCATGCAGGGAGGAACGGAGAAGGGAGCAACATGGCTTATGGGAGAGAAAAAGGCCATGATCCCTTCCCTTAGTCGCAGCTGGGAGAACAGGATATAAGTGGGGCGTTTGCACACAGCTCTTTGCTGGAAGCAAAGCGTGCGTTATCTTTGTCGAGGTTTATTTGGGTTTTGGCATCCTCCCAACTGTGGGTGCTGCATTATCTTTTGAAGCTCTGCAATTTATCATCCTGCCCTGCTGTGCTAATTACTTCAGCGTGGTTTTATGTTGGTTTTTTTTAATTTCTAATTATCTTTACTTTGGGTTCGGACTGCATTTCTGCCCTTCGTAGACTTTTTTTTTGAAGAATTTGATCTCCAGCCGAGGATAATTGGGCATTGGGGACAAGTTGGAGGCATTAAAGGGAATTTATTTTACTTTCGTGACTTTTGTTATTTTTGTGTCACGTCCCAGGTCATCACACTTTAAATCACGGTTTAGCTTTGTGCTTGTGAATATACCATGTTTCCCTGAAAATAAGACCCGGTCTTATATAATTTTTTGCCACCAAAAAAAGGCAACAGGTCTTATTTTCGGGGGATGACTTGCACTGACTTACCTCATGGTGGCAGCACCAACAGCCCTGCCCAGCAGGAGCCCATTGCTGGCCCACTTTTTTTGCCGCCGCTTGCCGCCACTTATGTGCATCATCCCCCTGGCCTCAGGAAAGGCCTCTGCAGCCGATAACAAGAGCTCCAGATCATTCTTTCTAGAAGGCCTCTGGGGGCGAAATGGAAGCCAGGGGCATCGCATGTGTCAATCTGGAGCTCTTTTATTGGCCGCAGAGGCCTTTATGGAAGGCCTCTGAGGGCGAAATGGAGTCTGGGGGGCGACACGTGCAAATGGCGGCAAGCAGCTGCTGAAGAAGTAGGCCAGCAAGGTGAGGCAGGTGCCAGGGTGTGCGAGGCCTGGCTGCAACTCTCCCAAGGTAAGGAGGTCCATCACGCCCTCATCCTCAACCTCACTTGATTTTTACCCGTATGCCTCGCCTCACGCTGCACAACAGGTGTAATGGAGTGGGCGGGGTCTTAAATAGGACTTATTTAAGGCTTATATTAGGCGCAGGTGTAAAAATCAAGCTAGGGCTTATTTTCGGGCTAGGCCTTATTTTTGAGCTAGTCCTCAATTTGCAACCATTTATTTGGTGACCATTCGAAATTACAATGGCACTGAAAAAGCGACGTAAGGACTGGTTCGTTCTTGGATTTAGGACTGTGGCAGCATTCCCATGGTCAGGTAAACAAAATCTGGGTGCTTTGCAATCAGCATGTATACAGGTGGTCCTCGACTTATGACCACCATTGAGCCCAAAATTTCTGTGGCTAGGCGAAGCGTTTGTTCAGTGAATTTTGCTTCATTTTACCACTTTTCTTGCCATCGTTGTTAAATGAACCACCGTAGTTGTTAAGTTAGTAACATGGCTGTTAAGTGAATCTGACTTTGCTTGGCAGGAGGTCGTAAAAGGGGTTCACATGACATCTGAACACTGCGTCCGTCATAAATAGGAGTCAGTTGCCAAGTATCTGAATTTTGATCGTGTGCCACAAAGGTTGTAAAACGGTCATTAAGTCACCTTTTTCAATGCCGTTGAAACTCTGAATGGTCACTAAATGAAGCTTCTGGGATGAGAAGCGAAACGTCTTCAAAGAAAAACCAAGAAAGTCCAGTTGCCTCTTGAAAAAAAAAGGCACTTTTGGGACAACTGTGACCTGGAGGACTGAGAACCTCCCTAGATATTCTGAGAGATCTACTGCAACCTCAGCTTGACAAAAGATTAATTTACAAGGATTAGTAGGGCAAACATGTTATGTTCTCAGGTGTGCTCCTAAAACAAATCTACCAACCAAACATAATTCAAGGTAAACAGAAAGCAAGACAAAGTCCAGTAGCACAGCTGCTCTCCTCTGACTCTCCCAGCCTTGACAGGGAAGAACTATCCTGGCCTTGTACTTTCAAGCCAAAAAGCATTGGAAAGATCGGCTTAAAAGGGTCATTTCAGGATCTGATGGGGGAAAAAAGTAAAAACTGAGGGGAAGTGAGAAAACGCCAAACATCCCAAATTCCTTCGTGTTGCAGAATGCTGACAAGCAGACTGTGGACTCTGGAAACTCAACACAAGTATCTTGGAAGCGGACAAGAGTCCCTGCTGCTCCGTTGTGTGACTGGTATGTTGGCTTCCTAGAGATATCAAGGTCTTCCCTAGTTAACTTCTTCACAACTACACTACTGAAAGAGAGTATCAACAGCAATAGCACTTGGACTTATATACCACTTCACAGTGTTTTTACAGCCCTCTCTAAGCGGTTTACAGAGTCAGCCTCTTGCCCCAAACAATCTGGGTCCTCATTTTACCCACCTCGGAAGGATGGGAGGCTGAGTCAACCTTGAGCTGTTCAGGATTGAACTTCCTGGCTGTGGGCAGAGTTAGTCTGCAATACAGCACTTTAACCACTGCACCAACCCAGCTTGATTGCTTTCTTTCCTTCCTTCCTTCCTTCCTTCCTTCCTTCCTTCCTTCCTTCCTTCCTTC